TCAGAAAGGGTGTGACCTCTCCAAAGTTACACATATTTTACTAAGAAACAAAGCCAGGTTTTCAGACTCTAAGTTCAAGAGCCCTGGTGTTGCAATGCGTAAGCCTTCACCTGCTAACCAAAGGTTGGTGGTTCGAACCCACCAGTGGCTCCACAGGAGAAAGATCTCTTTATCTGCTTCTGTAAAAATTGAAGCCTAGGAAACCCTATGGGACAGTTCTACTCTGTCACATGGGGTCACTATGAGTCGGAAACAACTCGACATACCTAACAACAAGCCACTCAAGCTACTGTCTTATTCCTTTAATTTTGAATTTACAGACTAAGAAGAACTGGCATCCCTTAATATATCTGCAAATGCCTTTGAAACATTATCAGTGTTAATTTCAGCCTCATCAGTCCTCAGCCCACAGCTTGGCTACAAAGGCCTCACATTCTTGCTTGTTGGAGTAATGATTTCAAGTTTATCTTAATATAGAGTACTTTCCTTAATTTTTCTTTCATGACTGTTTCCTTTAAAGATAACTCACTCACTACTTGGAGCGTATACTCCTGTTTTGACTTTACACATGGTTTTCTCTCATTCTTTCAAGGAGAGACTAGATGGTTCCAAGATAATTTTCTGGCTATTAACTGGAAGTAGGAATTTCATGTGAAACAGGAAATTAACATGGAAGGTTTGGCTAAGGTACACAGACAATAGGTGACACACTGTGAAGTATGAGGAGATCATGAAGCAAGCTTGACAAAGATAGTAGCCCCTAATCAGTTATAGGACTCTTAGTCTTTAACTCATATAAAGATTTGCACTTGGAGTTTAAAAGAGCATTTTTGGAGAAGGCTGTTTATATACTATGAGTGCTCTCTCTATCTCTCTCTTTCACACACACATTTCCTCTTTAAGTCAAGAGAAAGAGGCTTTAAGAGATGACCTGGGGTCACTTGATCTTTGACAAAGTCCCAAAGTCCATAAAATGGGGAAAGACAGTCTTTTTAACAAATGGAGCTGGCAAAACTGAATGTCCATCTGTAAAAAAAATGAAATAAGAACCATACCTTACACCATACACAAAAACTAATTCAAAATGGATCAAAGACCCAAATATAAAACAAAAAACTATAAAGATATAGAAGAAAAAATAGCATCAACATAAGTGAGCCCTAATATACAGCATAAATGGGATACAAACCATAACTAACAATACACAAACACCAGAAGATAAGCTGGATAACTGGGATCTTCTAAAAATTAAACACTTACACTCATCAAAAGACTTCACCAAAAGAGTAAAAAGAGAACCTACAGACTGGGAAAAAATTTTGGCTATGACATATCCCAAAAGGTCTCATCTCTAAAATCTATAGGAAAATCTAACACCTCTACAACAAAAAGACAAATAATCCAATTAAAAAATGGGCAAGGGATATGAACAGACACTTCACCAAAGAAGACATTCAGGCAGCTAACAGACACATGAGGAAATACTCACAATCACTAGAGCCATTAAAGAAATGCACATCAAAACTACAATGAATTACCATCTCACCCCAACATTACTGGTACGAATCAAAAAAAAACAGAAAATAACAAATGTTGGAGAGGCTGTGGGGAGATGGGAGATTTTATGCACTACTGATGGGAATGCAAAATGGCACAACCATTTTGCAAAATGACATGGCACTTCCTTAAAAAGCTAGGAATAGAAATACCATACAATCCAGCAATCCCACTCCTAGGAATATATCCTAGAGAAATAAGAGCCATCACATGAATAGACATACGCACACTCATGTTCACTGCAGCATTACTTGCAATAGCAAAAAGATGGAAACAACCTAAGTGTCCATCAACAGATGAATGGGTAAACAAACCATGGTACATACACACAATGGAATACTATGCAACGATGAAGAACAATGACGAATCTGCGAAACATCTCACAACATGGATGAATCTGGAGGACATTATGCTGAGTGAAATAAGTCAATCACAAAAGGACAAATACTGTATGAGACCATTATTATAAAAACTCATGAAAAAGTTTACACATAGAAAGAAACAATCTTTGATGGTTAGAGAGAGGGGAAGGGTGGGGAGGGAAAAACACTAAACAATAGACAAGTGGTAACTTTGGTAAAGGGTAAGACAGTATGAATACTGCAGAAGTCAGCACGACTTGCCCAAGGAAAAGTCATAGAAGATTCATAGACGCATCCAAACTCCCTGAGGGATTGAGTTACTGGGATGAGGTCTGGGAACCATGATCTCAGAAGGATATCTAGCTCAACTGGCACAACATAGTTTATAAACAAAATGTTCTACATCCTGCTTTGGTGAGTAGCACCTGGGGTCTTAAAAGCTTGTGAACGGCCATCTAAGATACTCCATTGGTCTCAGCCTGTCTGGAGCAAGGAAGAATGAAGAAAATCAAAAACACAAGGGAAAGATTAGTCCAAAGGACTAATGGACCACAACTACCACAACCTCCATCAGACTGAGTCTAGCACAACTAGATGGTGCCCGGCTACCACCACCAACTGCTCTGACAGAGATCACAATAGAAGGTCCCAGACAGAGCTGGAGAAAAATGTAGAACAAAATTTAAACTCACAAAAAAAGATTAGACTTACTTGTCTGAGAGAGACTGGAGAAACCCTGAGAATATGACCCCCAGACACCTTGTAACTCAATACTAAGGTAACTCCTGAGGCTCAACCCTTTGGCCAAAGATTAGACAGGCCTATAAAACAAACAATAACACACGTGGTTCAATCATGTATACGAGACTAAATGGGCACATCAACCCAATGGCAAGGATAAGAAGGCAGGAGGGGACAGGAAAGCTGGATGAATGGAAATAGAGAACCCAAGGTCGAGAAGGGGAGAGGGTTGACACGTCGTTGGGTTGGCAACCAATGTCACAAAACAATATGTGTATTAATTGTTTAATGAGAAAACAATTTGCTCTGTAAACTTTCACCTAAAGCACAATAAAAAAACTAAAATAATAGTAAAATAATAATAAAAAAAGAGGTAACTTGGAAATCACTTAAGCCTGAGAATTCTAAAGAATGAGACATAGGATGGCATGCTGCTGTTCCTGTAAAGGAAAGGCAGCCATATTGGAAGGCTGTAATTTCTAGTGTTTGGTGGGGGCCAACTGATATGTTATTATTTCCCGATGTGCTGATATGGCCTAGTATAAGAACGAGTTGTTGAGGGCTCATTTGATTTCCTGTTCAAGAAGGCTATCTAAAGGAGGCAAAGAGATCTTCCAAGAATAAAGCTGGAGGCATCACCGGATGTCCAGGGGCTGAAGAAGGCATACGGGACCATCTGGGATTGAGATATACCCACCCTCCTCCAGGGAACTACGGTTGAGAGACTCCCTGACCAATGTTCTTTGGCGGGGGTGGAGATGATGGGGGAGAGTGGAGAAATCTCGGAAGGACCCATGAAAGGACCCAGCTTTAGACAAGGGCTACATCCACAGAAAACCAATTCCTAACAAGTGCTATAGAGTAAAAACTTTCCTGTACCTCGTTAGCTCTTCTTCCTTCCCCAGCCAGTTCTGGAGATGCCAGAAACCATGGTTAGCAAGATGGCGGCAGGGCCTGGGAGAGGGTGTAGAAGTGAAAGGTAGGGGACAATGGGTAAAATGCCAACCACATGTGTCTTCTTCTTTCATGGCAGGTGAGCAGCCTGCAGCAGGCCGGAAAAGTGGAGTAACCTTGAATAAATTTTAAAGTTTTAATAGTTACACTGGGATGGATGTATTAATCACCAATAGGAGGCTCATTTGTTTCCTGAAAGTGACTAGGGGAAAGGGAAGAGTTAGTCCCATCAATAAATTAAATGGGTCACTGGTAGATAAAAATGAAGTGACTTTATAATTACATCTCAGGTGTCATGCTTATTCAAAGTAGAGTTTAAATATGTGTTTTCTCACTTAAACCTCACACCAATCTTTTGAACTAGTTTCCACTATCGTTCACATTTCACAGATGAGAAGATTAAACTTTGAGAAGTTAAGCACCTTTCCTAAGAAAATGTGGCTACAGAGCGGGAATCTATATCAGGCTGTCTCCAGAGCTGCCTCACAGCAACCTTGTAGCTTTCCTCTTCTTTGTGGAAATTAGTAGCTTCCCTTTCCTTGGCAGAAATCCAGGATTAATATTTACCACGGACACTTAGTTATATAGAGGCACAGCCAACACATAGGACACCTTTATAAAAATAGAAAAAGTTATCCCTTCTTCAAGCCACTTTCATCTGTTGAAAAAATGTCAAAATGTGCTATTTTTTTTTTAAATAAAATACTAACTCCTACAGTAAAGTTTCACAATAAAGGTACAAACCTCTAGAATGTTCCCTACATACCTGTACCACAGCACTGGGAAGCTCTGTAGGTTCTACGGCCAGGCAACTAAAATCCACCAACCAGTTCATTTTTTTGGGACCTCTTCTCACACACCTCTGAAATCAACCATTTTGTAAACAACAGCCTTTCCCGCAGGTCTGCTGAAGTGGAAACATTCCCATTTACAACGACGGTATGCTCTCTCAGGAGAGACGGAGATAAAAAGACCCAAGCTCTCAAACATCCTTTTTCTCAATCCACAGATCACAAAAAAAATGCTCGATAGCTGTGAAAAGTTCAATTTGAAATCCAGAGGCACAAATCCAAATTCTCCCATAAGCCCCAACCCCAAAACCCACTGCCATGAAGCTGATTCCGACTCATAACGAACCTCTAGGACAGAGTAGAATGCCCATAGGGTTTCCAAGGCCGTAATCTTTATAGAAGCTGACTGCCACATCTTTCCTCCGCGGAGATGTTGGTGGGTTTGAACCGCCGACCTTTCGGTTGGCAGCCGAGTGCTTAACCACTGCGCAACCAACGCTCCTTCCACCGGCCCCAGAGGATGTAAATGGAGCTTGAGGGAAATATCAGTGAAGACAGGGGGAGGGGGAATAAATATGAAGAACTCATTACTTACTGCTCTCACCCGCCGATGTACAGATGTTGCGAACTATCCTTTTTTGGGCCTTTTTTAGCTCGTCGAAGTTTTCCACCGTCATTTTTTTGTCCGCGCTCCCGGTGATCTGAATGAGCTCCTGGTCATCCACGTCCCCAATGCCCACAGAGTAGATGCTGATACCTTTGTGTCTCAGATCTTCCGCGGCCTGAGCCACATCGTCTTGGGATCGCCCATCGGTGAGGACCAGCAGCACCTGTGGGGTACCCGCATTGATCCTACTGCCCATGTCCGAGCGGAAGTAATGCCCCACCTTTCGGAGGGCAGCACCGATGTGAGTGTACCCGAAGATCTGCTTGATGTTTCCAATCTGAAGTGAAATCTCCTTTTCACCTGTGAAACGTCCCAGTGGGAACTCTGGCCGGTAGGAATCACTAAACTGGGCTGCTCCTATACGCACTCTGTTGTGTTTGACATCAAAGTCTTGAACAACAGTTGCCAAAAATTCCTTCATCTTCTTGAAATCATCTGGATGAATGCTGTTAGAACCATCCATGAGGAAAACAAGATCTACTGTTTGAATTTCACAATCTACAAAGAACAGGAAAGGGAACAACAGCAAGAAAAATCACATTGTTATTCTTTCTTTAATTCACCAAAAGTAAATTTGATGTTTGCAGCTATATAGAAATGATATTTCTGAAAGTGGCTTCCTGTCTTATCCTGCTAGGTGGTCACATTAATTGGAGAGCAAATAAAAACAAATAATCCAGTTCATAAAGGCAGCAATAGGCATGGACAACTTACACATTCTTTTACACTGCTTTTAGCTTGCCCAGTTGGTCTCATGCCATCTTCTTTTTCCAGAACTGGGGAAGGTGCTACAGAAAACCTGTTCTCACCAAGCAAGATTTATCCCTTCTAGAAAGCCAAGTGACAGTAGTAGCACAGTAAGAATAAAAAAAAAAAAAAAACACATTCATTTTGGGATTCATACAAAGAGACAAATGGTTTGTATTATTGACTTGGCTCAGTTAGCTGAGCCAATACATACTATTCTGGTTTATCAGGGCAAATTAAAGACAGGTTTTAAAATCATGCCTTATGGCCTATATCTAGTCAGTTTTCCTCTTTATTAACACCCTTTTTTTGCATATAAATGCGTATAAAAATATCTACTTGAGAAAAAGATTGTGGGATAAACAATGTATAGTACAGTATAGTTTAGAAATGTTTCCCTTGCATTGACACAGCAAATACAAAACAAAAGGAATATGAAAACATTGCTGATGAATAAGTTATTCTTGGCGCACAACTTATGTGTGTTCCTTAGCCTTCTGGTAAGCATTATCATTTCTGTGAATTCCCCAGTGACCCCACCACGGACCAAAGCAAATTCTCATTTTAGCCTCAGGAAAGATTAAAGGTGGCTGAGATTCTTGCAGTAGAGATAAGCAATAATGAGATAAAAAGTAATATTGCAAACAGATCCTTCAAGAATTGGTTAACTCATTAAATTCTTCTAAGATTCAAATAAAGGAAATCAAATACTTTTTCTGCCCAAAGAAGAACTTTCAGTATAGAAATGTGATGTCTACTTCTCCAATGTACTGTAGAAGGACAGTTCATTTTTGAGATTTGAGAAGGACAGATCAAATTTTAGGCACTGGTCACAAGGAAGTAAACAATTTGTTGCAGTTTCCAATAAGACCCAGAAAGATTTTGTTAGTTTTGTGAAAGAAAAAGATAGTGGCTGCGTTCTAAGGACACAAAGCACACAAAAATTAGAAAAGTTAAATAAATAATTTTTATGGAAGAACTGCACCAAGAAGTTGGAATCCTGGATTAATAGCAATTCATCTAATAAAAATAGTATTTTCAGTAAAATACATTTTAGCAAAAATACTAAGGAATTTTGTTGTTGTTGTTGCCGTCAAATTGATTCTGACTTGTGGTGACCCCATGTGTGCGGAGTAGGATTTCTCTACAGGGTCTTCAAGGCTGTGACCTTTCAGAAGCAGCATCGGCTGTCTTCCGATGCACCTCAGGGTGGGTTTGTACTGCTAACCTTCTAGTTAGTAGTCCAGTGCTTAACCATTTACGCCACTCAGGGACTCTAAGGAATTTTAGTAGACTACAATTTCTTTCTGAACCAAAAGTGTAAAATGGCAGCCAAATAAATAAATCAATGTGGCAATGAAACCTTCAGCTGCCAGAAGTGAAACACAGCGTCCAGGGCAAAGAAAGTCCTACTGTAATCTGCCTTGGAAACATCTTAGGCTAGAATAGAGCATTTAATACTGGGCTTCAAATTTTAAAAGAGCTTGTGCCATAGTAGAAATAGGTGAAGGATCTGGGGGCTTCTAGCTTGGAGGAGGAAAGACTTCAGTCAATGATACTGGTTCTTAGGAGGAGATGGAATTTGACTTCTTGTGTAAGGAGCAGGAAGAAGAACTAACTAGTGGGTGGAAATGACATGCAAGTAAATGTATGTTCTAATAAATAAAGCCTAATCAAAAATCGTGAATTTTCCTTTATTAGAAGAAATGAGTAGGAATGTTGTAGAAGTTATTTCTCCTTGGGGCGGGGGCGGGCGGGGAAGCCAAATTAAATGTCCTTGAGGTCTTTCCAACACTGAGATTCTGTAACTGTGGGAAGTTCTACAAAAACAATTAGAGTTCTCTCTTCTCTCTGGAGAACTTGCTCCTGAAGGTTGTTACTTTGGTTCTCTCTCATTTGGCCCTCTGCTAATATTAGGAAAATCCTAACTGACAAATCTTACCTACTTTTGAAGAGTTGCAGATGCTGGCTGACACATCTGAAAACATTCCCTTCAAGCCCCCAAAAGTCTCCACGAAGAAGTACTTGTCACTTGACCCCGCCATGGCTAACAGCTCCACGAGATTGGCGCCAGCAATCCCCACAGCCAGGACAAGAATGCCCTTGTCACGCAAGGCCTTTGCTGTGGCGTTGAGTTCATCCGCATCATGGGATTCCCCATCGGTGATCACAATGAGGACCTGGGGGACCCCCTTTTGTAGGCGGCTGCCCCGGGCTTCAGTGAACATGTGGTCTGAGAAGGCTAGTGCCTTGGCAGTGTAAGTGTTGCCCCCCATGGGCTGGTCATTCTGAAGCTCTGAAATCACCTCCAATTTTGTGCCAAGGTCACCAAGATAAAACAGCACCTCTGGGTCATCAGCATACTTCAGAGCTCCAAACTGGACCTGATTCTTGCCAACATCAGCTTTTTTCACCAAGCCAATCATAAAGTCCTTCATGATATTATACTCATCATGGTCAATGCTGCCAGAGCTATCAATCACAAACACAACATCTAAAACTTCAATCCGCTTGCATTCTAAAAGAGGAAGAGAAAGGAAAACCATATGAAATTGGCTTTGGATATCATGGGAGACTTTTTAAAACAACAAACTTTGTATTTTAGAGCAGTTTAGGCATGCAGAAAAATTACACGGAAAGTGCAGAAAGTTCTCATATGCCTCCTCTACCCCCCTGCATATAGTTTCCATGGGAGACTTTTTAATTTCCCTTTTTGAAAAAATTGTTGGTGTTTCTTCTCCCAGGGATCATGTTCTACATTAGAATGTTGGTTCCCTAAATAATTGAGACAAGACACAATCATTTGTGCTGCCAGTACACAGCAATCGTTAAGTAGGGGAACTTGTAGGACAAGAGAGATGTGAAGTCCATTGCAGGGTGTGTGAGGAGCTGATCATCACAGAATCACCAGAAGCAAAAATTTCAAGTACTTTTAGATTTAAAAAAAATGTACAATTTTGTGGAATTTTTCTTGTATAAATGGTTTCTTCAACATGTGCTTTCATTTACCCAAATTAGACTTTATTTTTTTTTAATCCACAGGGATCATGAGATTTTATTCTTAAGATAAACCCTGGGGAAAATGACTGAAAGAAATAAATTTGACAACACTGTATATTTTTTCATGGTTCTATGATGGCTGGCTTTTCAAGGTTACATTTTCTCCCTTTCTGACTTTCTTGAAACATTATCTATTTTCATTATTGGACCTCATCATAGACATAAGCCCATTTCTCACTTGGCCCAACTAAGTTATCCTAGCATGACGCTCCTATTAATTTTGTTAATCTTGGGTCAAGGCCATTGAAAGGTAATTTAGCCAAAAGACCCAATTACTACTTTAGCCGTGGGTAACATGTTCCATCTGAAGGCCGTAGTATTCCAAGCTCTAACTCATCTGTTCTGGAGAAGTAAGATGGTTAGTTACTTAGACTTTGAATCACACATTCTCTCTACAGGCCTTAGAAAGGCATGTTCCAAATATTGACTCATCCATTCTTGAGAAATGGGATTTTAATAAACAACCTCCACTATCCAGAGACTCACCAAATGTCCTTTCTTTGCAAGCCACTTGCTGACAATGTGATAGGGCTGTTAAAAACCCTATGGCCAGTGTGCTTACCCCACTGACGGGAGGCCATATGTACTGAACCATAAACCAAATTCTAAAGCAAGGCTGGTTCCAATAAGAAAGAAACTATGTCTCTCTGGCCTTCCAATATCCTGCAAATCTTGGCTGGACTACTCAGGGGGCTGAGCATAGATTGCTCAGTGTTGGGCCCCTTCTAAGAGTTCAGATTTGTTGGTGGGGTGGGGGAGGGAGATTACCAAGGAAATAAATCAGGTATATTCCTCTTCCCTCAAAATACTGACCATGATCACAAAACCTGCTAGTGTGAGCTGAACATAATTGGAATAAGAGAACACTGTTCCTCTTTTCCTTCAAAACTCCACTAAGATCCATCTCCTTCATAGAGACTTTCCAGAATGCCTCGGCCATCAAGCCCTGTGAGTCATACTATAAATCAGTCCCTTACATTTGCTGAACTTTTGTTTTGTCACTTCCGTTTCCTTGCAGGCTCAGGGGAAGAGGGTGGGGGCTATGCAATTTACTTGCTTTGAAGCATCCATTGTTCAAGTTCCCTTACTAAATTCATCTTTTATAGGATTTAATGAAAATCAAAGTGTTTTCCAAAACATTGTCTTATTTTATACAAGTACTCTTGTTTAAAAAAATTATAAAAATACATTTGTAGTGGATGCTAGGCCAATCAGGAGCCATCTTGGGCAGGAGATTATGCCCCTCTACTGCCTACCACAGCAGCCCACATGTAGCCCGTGACACAAGGTACAAAAGACTGGGCCCCTTGCCTCCAGGAGGGACCAACTGTGGTATAACTCATGGCTCTAGAACCCTTCGTGGGATGAGGCTGAAGCTAGACTCCAGCTAAGACCATCTCCTTGCTGAGCTCCTACTCGTGCCCTTCCCTGCTTTCCTTACTCCCCTCTGAGAATGCCCTCTCAAATCACTTCCACAAGAATCCCAGACTCACCCTCTGCTTCTAGGGAACCTGATCTAAGACATGGAATGATAGCACTTTTCTTAAATGGAAGATTCATCACCCCGGTGCTATTTGTGCACAAATGGGAAAGAGTCTAGGTGCACCAAAATTGTTCCTTCCCATTAACCCAACTGCTTAATTTGACAGTTCTGTTTAGGAAAGTTGCATTTCACAGGCAGGTCAAAAGCCACTAGAATAAATTTTCAGTTAACCAAGAAAAATGTACAATGTTCAAATAGCAGTCCACCAGTTCAAGAAATAATGAGTAGCATTGACACCAGATGTTTGGATAGTCCCACTAGTCAATGTGCCCATGCCTACCTTCACGGGGGCTGCAAATTCCAAAAACAAGATCATTTTCAATGTTCTGTAGAATGTCAAAATTCTCAACATAAAAAACCATCTCCGGCCTTCCACTGATCTCCTCCAGCTGGGTAACATTGGAGCCAAACACCCCCACAGAGTAGATAATGATGCCTTCTTGCCGAAGTGCTACTGCTGGGTCCTTCACTATGTCATGAGCTTCACCATCCGTGATGAGGATGAGGAACTTCCTGACGTTGGACCGGGCCCCCTTGGCAGGGCTGAAGTATTGAGACACAAAGGTCAGGGCACTTCCAGTCAAAGTGGTTTGTCCAATGTGAGTCATACGGTCTATTGCATCTGAAATTTCACTTTGGGACATGAATCTGTTGAGCGGAAACTCCTCTTTATTGATGTCGCTGAACTGGACGACACCAATTTGCACCCAATCTGCCCCAATCTGAGTCTTGTTTACCAGGTTTTTCATAAATGTTTTCATTTTGCTGAAGTTTTCAGGGCCTATACTGCCGGAACTGTCCACCAGAAACATGATGTCAGCTTTCATCTCTTTGCAGGCTGCATGAGAGAAAGAGGGATGTTTACTCAAGTTGGCTACATGTAAAAAAATGAATGAATGGGAAAATCCAAAACACAGACGATTCTAAACTGAAATTAAGTGTGTGCTTGGTCAGGATTGTTAGCAAGTAAATAAAGCATTGAAGGCAACAAAAGTGAGACTATTATATTTGTTATTTAGTAATTTCCTTTAATATAGAACTCAAGGTTTCTCAGCCTCAGCACTGTTGACATTTTGTGCCAGATAATTCTTTATCATGGGTGGCTATCTGTGCATTGTAGGATATTGCAGAATGTTTAGCCATTTTATGCCAGTAGCAACCCCTCAATTGTAATAATGAAAAGTGTCTCTAAACATTGTCAAATGTCCCCATAGGGGGACAAATCACCCCGGTTGCAAACTACTGATATAGTTTAAAATTTTATAAAAAACAATTTAAATAAACCTGAAGTAACCCTCAAATCTGAAATTATTTGATCATATTGCACATATAGCATCTAATCTTCGACCCTAGCAGGAATTTGTGGGAGAGGCTAATTAGTACCTATTAGGGAAACTCTCAAACATCAGCAATGCTATAATGAGCCCATATTTTTGTTCTAGCGAAAAACATAGTTACACAGGTCAACAAATCTCAACTTAGAAATTTATATTATTTCTTTAAATCAGCAATGTCAAATCTTGCCAGGAATGCAATTTGTGAGCTAAAGTCAAATGGTAAAGTCATCGTTTCTCTTACCTTCTTCAGCACATATTTCTTGAACAACCTGATTTCTTATGTCTTTCAAAGAGTCAAAATCATGCACATAGTACACTCTCCTTTCATCGCCTGCAATTTCACGCAGCTGGGTTTGGTTGGCCTCCTTGACCCCGATAGCATGAACATTGATGAGCTCTTCTCTCAGTCTGTTCGCGGGCTCCAAGACGCTATCCTTGGACATAGCATTTGTCAGGACAATAAGGTGATATGGCACTTTGTTTCCTCGTTGCCTCTTTGATTTTTGTAACAGCCCCAGAGTGTAATTCAGGGCTGCACCTGTGTTCGTATTCCCACCCATCTGCCTAATGTTCTCAATGGCCTTTTTCAAATCGTGCTTATTTGGGTATTTACCGATCACAAATTCCAAGTCCCAGGTGTCGGCATACTGGACAGCCCCAACCCGCACCTTATGGGGAGCGATGTTGAACATCCCTACAATCTCCGACAGAAAAGTCTTCATTTCTTGGAAGTCAGTGGCTTGGGTGCTCCCTGATCCATCAATGAGCAGATAGATGTCAGCTTCTTCTGTATCCACACAACCTAAAATAGAACAAAAAACTGAGTCTGGCATCTAGGGCAAGTGTGAAGAAGAAATGGCAGCAGGTGAGAAGAAAAACAAGTATGAGCTTCTCCAGACAGAAAGATAGGAATTAGCTCTGAGGCTTAAAAGATAGGCTTGAAATTGTGGATCTTGGCATCATTTGGGCCAAATGAATTGCTTCTGACACTTTAGCACTATTTGGATATTTCTCTGCCGTGAATCAGGGTAAACCCAGATACAGCAAAAAAATTGGAAAGAAACATTTTAAATGTCTTTTAAAACTCACTTCTCTCATTAGTAAATAACTGCTTAGCAAAAAGTCCAGAGGTGTGTTGTGAAGTGCAGAAGGTAATTAATTGAACATTGTGATGATATGAGCTCTCTTTCTTGAAATCTTGAACAAATTATTTACTCCTCACTCACATCTGGTCAAATAAGTAAACCAGGGGTATTATCAGTGGCTTTATGTATGTATGTAGGACAATGATGTTTTTATAGTACACATGCTATAAATGTTTGTCTAAGAATGTATTCATATATACATATACATATAAATACTCACACAGAGTATGTATGTCTACATGATATATATTAAAAATATGTAAAATACATTGCTGTCTATCTGTCTCTCTAAACTCTTAGATACTGGATTGGAACTTCATAACAAATTCATTACTCCAGGCTCAATTCAAGTCATAACTCGCTGCCTCCTGGTCGATTCCAACTCACAGCAACCTTATAGGACAGCGTAGAACTGCCCCATAGCAGTTTCCAAGGCTGTAAATCTTTACGGAAGCAGACTGCCACATCCTTCTCCCACAGAGCAGGTGGTGGGTTCGAACTGCTGACCTTTTGGTTAACAGCCAAGAGCTTAACCACTGTGCCACCAGGGCTCCTATCCAAATTATACTTCCTATTTGTTCTCTAAGTTGGAATTTAGGGATAAGAAAAGAAGAGAAGGGAGAGAAAAAATATCAAAAAGAAAATAAAGAGAAGGGGAAGACGAGAAGCAAAGGGGAGAGAAAAAAGTAAAGGAAGAAAAATAGCAAAAGTGTGGTGTTCTCTGGGTATTTATAAGCAGCAATCAAATTAGAACTACTGAAAATAGGGGGTAAAAAGAGAAATCCTTTCTCCCTATTCCAACACCTCAGTACCTTTTGCTCGCCCCCAAATTACACTTTGTATTATCAAACTAACCTAAAAAATTAGACTTGTTCACCCCACCCATATTACATCCCACCAATCCCTTTTGTATATACAACATCTGAAAGACAAAAAGAGATGAGACAAAAAAAAAAAGAAAGAAAGAAAAACAACCTGAAACATTTTTCTCTCAGCAAAAGACCTTACCAGATTTGAGGGTTTCTGTCCGTTCTGAGAAGACAGAGACTGTGTGTGTTATTTGATTCCGCAGCTTCTTCAGAAATGTCTGGTTGTGGGCAGCAAGGTCAGAGAAGGCTTTTAGTTTGGAGACGTACTGTTCAGCAGGGTGAGAGGCTATCTTTTCCAACTGGGCATCACTAGCCCCCTCTATGCCCATGGTGAAGATGGTCACACCTTCTCGCCGGAGGTTCACAGCTGCCTTGGTCACATTGTCTTCTGATGGTCTATGTGTCACCAGCACTGCAATCTGAGGCACCCCCTGATTCTTCCGACTGCCATTCTGTGCCCTGAAGACTTCCTTCTTGATCTTCCTGATGGCAGCTCCGGTGTAGGCCTTCCCCATCCTGGGAGAGAGGTTCTGTATGTTCTGGAGAACCTCTGACTTATTTATGCCTGCACTCAGTGAGTTTATCACTGTGGTCTCATTGCTATAGTCCACAAGGCCAACCCTCATGCAACGCTCCTTTATGTCAAGAGCAGAAACACTCTCTTCCAGGAAGTCTTTAAGATAGTCAAAGTTCTCCAGGCTGCCATTGATCGACACATCCAACAAGAACACAACGTCGGCCACAGAATGGCCTTGGCAAACTGTGTGGGCAAAAAAGGAACAAGGACAGTTTTAGTTGGAGGTTCAGCATCTCTGCTTAGAAGGCAAGAAGAACATCTGCCATAGCTTGGCTGTACACTTAAAGAAAGAAGGAGGTATACAAAGTGATTATGAAGCTGAAATCAGAGGGATTGGGATCAAATACTGGATCTTGCCTAAATACCTAGCTTCAGTTTCCTCATCTGTCAAGTGAAAAAAATAATAATAATAATTGCCTCATAGAGTTGTTATGGAGATTAAATGAGATAATGTGCTTAGCTTTACTTAAAGAACAGTACCCATTACTATCATATTAAAATCATTTAAATCATCATCATCACTGTAATCAATAGCTATAGTCCAAATATTACTAAGGAATGGTCACAGAATAGCAATTGTGTTTTCAATTATTTATTTGGAAAAGATATCAGTAATAAGGATTCATACTTTCAGAGATTCTCACAAGAAAGACACTCTGTTATCAATGCTGTTGTTGTTACTTGCCATCAAGTCAGTTCCAACTCATGGTGACCCCATGTGTTACAGAGTAGAACTGTTCCAAAGGGTTTTCTTGGCTGTAATCTTAATGGACGCAGATCACCAGGACTTTCTTCCACAGTACCACGGGGTAGGTTTGAACCATCAAACTTTAGGTTAGCAGTTGAGTGCAAGCCATGTGCACCACCTAGGGATCTCTCTATTATAAACAGATAATTGTATATGTCATTTAATTCAAGTTGATTTAACTAGGAATAATGTGAGGTTCCTAATTAATTATTTGAATGTGTACACTGTGAACAAATTTTTTTTTACTGGCTGTCCCCTGCCCCTTGATTGAATGATGCTCACAAACTCTTGGCCATTCTTGTTAATAGAAGAGTGGAAGAGGACAGACCAGGACGGCAGGTTGGAAGTGGAACAGAACATGGGTGGTTAATTCAGAACAAAGCAGCAGGAGCGGAGGCAGTGTGGGGCTGAAACGACATGGGCCTGGGACTTGGAAGACCTGACCCAGCTCTGACTTCAAATTTCCACCTGGCCCCGGGCCAGACCACATCACCTCTAAGGACGACTACAATTTCTTTTCTGCAAAATAGGGTTTTGGACAATCTGAAGTTGTTTCTAGCTCTAAGATTCTGGGACTAAATCATGTGGCTTCAGGACTCAAGGATTTCTTTTGGAGCAAATTTACCTTCTTAATTCCCCTGTAATAAAATGACACAGCAGCTAAAGCCCAAGGTGGTAGCTCAGAGGTAAGCTGGGTGGCGGGGAGAAGGTGGCCCTGAATTTTAAGAAGTCTGTGAATGTTGCACAATGCAAATAAACTATTTGTGGAGAATCAAGGCTGTGGTTTCTCTGGGTTTAAAATAGCCACAATCGTTGGGCCTCTTGAATACAGCATATTTAACATTCTGAAAATTCAGCCCAGGGGAAAGGGATGTTCTTCGAGTTTCAATTCTCTCCTCATGCTGACTTTTCAAAAATGTTCTGTCATCATTCCTATACATGTATCTAAGCCCACCTTCTACAAGGACATCATTGGCTGCTCCTTCCTTGTACCGAGTTACATCCTTGATGATCTGCGTCATGTTTTGGGAAAACGTGCTGAGGTCTCTGACCGTCCGCAGGTGGAAATGAAACTGAGACGTGGCCATGGCCTTCAGGTTCTCCTCCGAAGCTCCCTGCGTTCCCACGGAGATGATTCTCACCCCATCATTCCTCAAAGCCCTAGCAGCTTCTTCCACATCATCCTCAGACTTAGCTGATGCCAGGACCACCAAAATGGGGGGAAACAGTTTCTTGTCTCTCCCATTTGTGGGTGCAGAAAAATAGGTCCTGTGAGCTTCCTGGAGAGCGCTTCCTATCCTCAGGGACCCGCCAAGGAACTCAAAGTTCTTCTTGAGGTGGTTCAACATGGGGTTCTTGCTCTTGAAGGTGTTCAGTTGGAATTCATCGTGGAGCTCATCGCTGTACTGGGCCAGGGCCACGCGGTATTTGTTGGCCTCTATGGGGAGACTGTTGATCATTTTGCTGATGAATGCTTTCACAAATGGGAACGACTTAGCTCCCAGGTGTTCAGAACTGTCCACCAGAAACACGACATCTGCATACTCAGGGCCTACAAAACCACAACAAATACGAACAAAGCAAAAACTTTAAAAGTTTACTGCCACATTTAACATCAACTATACGAGAAGAAACTTACTTTCCTCTTTTATTTATTTTCTTATTCCCTTCCCAATGAACAGAAAATACTAGCTTGAAATTGCAAATTCTCTCAAGAAAAAAAAAAATTTGTTTCTTGAGCCTTTTCATTTGTTACAACCTCTTATTTGAACTAATTAGAAAATTAAGCCTAACTTGCACAAGCAATTAATAGATAAATGCAGAGGAGTAAAAAATCATGGGTGTTTATACCTTTTGTGGATAACTTCTCCTTGTACTTTTTTTTTTTTTTTTTTGGCTTTCAGAATTTTATCTCAATTTATATCAACAGGATAAAAAATTTAATTGAGAATCAAATTGCTTTGAATTTGTTTGAAAGGTGAAATTTGAAAGACTGCCTGTCATTGTGACTTCCATTTAAGCAATGTAGCAAATGATCTGAGTGACTTGTAAACACATTAGTTTTGTCTTTCAACGTATCAAATTGAGGTTTAAAAAAGTCTCAAAATAAAAAAATATGGGATTGCCTTAATCTATTTTAAGGTTATTTATAATATTTTTAATAAGTCATAAGAGTGAACATTATAACTGGTAAATGTATTCTCACATATGTGTAACATGATAGAAACCAATATATCTTGAGCTAGAAAAGGGATTATAGTTTTAGTTACCATTAAAGTATAATTTTTATGTAGGAATATAATGTCTTTCTGAAATTTTAAAGCTTCATTCAATGCTAGATTCAATGCTAGGTATCTAGAATTATATTTTTTATGTGATAGAGTATCATTGGGTTAAAGCACTAAATGCCTTTTCCTGTTGGTCTGATGATTTGTTTGGATTCAGAGTTCTCACCCCTTGTATAAAATCAATTTCTTGTCCAGGGAAGAAAGGGAAATTGTGTACACGTGTATGTGTGTGTGTGTTTAAGAAAATACAGTGTAATTGAACAAGTAATGGAAGGTCTGACTTTGTCATTGCTAACTCTATGAGCTCTGTCAAGTCGTTCAATACCCCCGGGCCTCAGTTTTCCTCTCCTTTAAAATGGGTAGCTTCAACTAGAAAATATCTAAGATATTTCTAATGAGATTCTGATTATCTGAAATAGTTACTAGATAAATTCTAGTCAAATTAAAATAACTTCAATCTTTTCCTTTCTACAATCGCTAGTGAACTCGCATTGGCACCCTTGTTGTGTGGCTGTATTCTTTTCACAGCAGTCCAGTTGAGTCATAGTGGATAAAACTGTTATTTTTTTGTCTTCCAAGCAGCCAAATTCCAACCAATATGAGATTCCCTTAATGATCATACAACCAGCAGCATCTCAGGGGAAGAAATAAGTGAGGGCAAATCAATACCTTTCTCCAAGAGAAGGCTGGAACTTACACAAGGACTGTCAGGAAAGCCCCACCCAAAATGGCTTACTGTGACCAACAGTGGCCCTTCTAATCATCAATAAGACCTCACATCTTGTGTGGGAGAAGGAAATGTAGACGACTGGCACATGAAGTGGATTCAGGCTTCGTGACTCTGAACCATGAAACAACTGGGGAAAAGGCACTACATCTCTTTAAAAAACTTAATATCAGGCCCAGTGAGACATCAAAAGAAGACATTTACAAGGCAAAGTCTAGTTTATCTATTCAGAAAATTGGTTGTCAAGATCAGAGTTCTTGAGGAAGTGGTAAAAGCCAGTATAGGTGGCCCTGGACATGAACTGAAGAGGTGGTAGAGGTGGTGATGGGCGGCCAACATTCCGACTTCAAGTCCACCGGACATAGAGAACCAACAAAAAGTAGAAAGTAGCTGTGGAACTTTCTTTCCAGGGTGAATGCACTTTCTTTACAATAAACAGACAAGAAGTTTAAATTGGAGCAAACTCTGGGCACTTAACCAAGACATCCTTTCAGCACAAATGAATTAGGAAAAGATGGTCCAAATTTTCCAGGACTGAACCTAATATTAACAGATAGAATTTTCATGCAATCTCCCAGAGGCCCAAAAGGGGTTGAAACTGAGGACAAAATGACGTCTTTCATCTGTCTATTGCTAACAAAGAATAAGTCTCAGAAACAAATGATCTTCAAAGGAACACAGGTGACATTAAAAAGAAATTGAACTACCACCGTCGTGACCACCCAAAACAAAACAGAACAATACAATAAAATTCCTGATTTCTAAGTAGGGTAAACTTGCATATTATCTATTTTCCCCAATGAAAGTTAAGGAAAATCATTCTTTCCATTTTTTTTTCCTTACCAGAATCCTGGTTCACAGAATCATGGAGACAAATTATTACGAGGAACAAAATCAGCAGCATTTTCATATTATGACCTGAAAAATCTCCAACTTGAAATCTGAAAAGATAAAAATATAAACATCTAAAATTGTTGTGGTTATTATTTGGGAATCAAAACTTACCCACATATTAGCATACGAAATTACATAATAAATGGGGTGCAACAGAGGACAAGGAATTTCTGAGGTTGCTGGACCGTCTTATCCGTGAAGTACCTTAGAGAAAAGAGGAACCACCATTTATAGTCATCAGATCTTATCCTGGTCCACAGTCCCCACAGCAACATGAGATTTTGGATACTCAATGGAGGTAGCAGATGCATTCTTGTTCCAACAATACTGTGTTCCTGTTCATCACTTTCCTTATACCCTAGAGTCACTCTCTTTCCACCCATTGCCAAGACAACTGAGAGTTCATGGCTGGGACATGATCTAAGCCCTGTTTTCTTAATCTCTCCAGCATGGAAACATGGTTTCATCTTTGAGTCATATTTAGTATTTCTAGATGTGGTCAAAGGAACTCTGGTGGTGCAAAAAACAGCACTTGACAAAGTAAAGTTTGGCAGTTCGAACCTACCCACTGGCTCCAGGGGAGAAAGACCTGGCAATCTGCTTCTTTAAAGATTACAGCCAAGAAAACCGTATAGGGCAATTCTACTCTGTCACATGAGGTTGCTATGAGCCAGAATCAACTCAATGGCACCTAACAATAACAAGATGTGGTCAAAATTCCTTTTCTTCTTCCTCCTAACTAATAAGAAAGCTAACCATTTCTCTTTGTGCTTAAATTTGAGGTATATATGTATATAAAAAAAAGCCATGAACTTTCATATTCCTTATGATGTCTTGCTACTCAAAAGGACTCAATTTGAGCCATTTGTTTCCAACTACTTAGAACTGAATGAGGAAAGTTTTTCCAATATTAAAGTTTGGTCTAAAGCATTTTTAGTCACTTTAAAATATTCATTTCATGGAATGAAATAAAATATTAAACATATTGAGAACAAACGAAGCAGGGTGGGCTCATTCATTCACTCATTCATCCATTGGACAGAAAGAAACTGATCTACATTAATAAACTAGTGTCTGTGTGTCCTGCCTAATTCCTACCTGAATGTGTGTTTGCAATGTTATAGATGGCTGTCTCACCCCATATTAGGCAGGGTCCTAGTGATTTAATAGTTGGCCCCTTCAGAAAAGAGACATTTCCCATGAGAAGCTCCAGCTCACTTTCCTCACCTACTGTATCCTCCCTCTGAAATTCTGGAATTTAGGACTCAGTTCTATTCCTTCATAAGAAGCTACGTGATACAAACTTTTCAGGTTGTAGGTCAACTTATCAGTCCTATCCTAGTGGTAATCAATGAGCTGGAAGGGACTCTTAAGAGGTAATTTTTATTCCAACCCACTTGTTTTAGAGGAACTTGAATCCTAAAGTGGCTTGCCTAAGGGAAAATCAAGTCATGTCATCTGTACTCATTTTTTATTCATGTATATAATAATAAATGATAAATTTTACCATTTGTTGAGACTTTACTATGTGCCATGCCCTGTGCTAACAGTCTTAGCTCTGTTCTCCTGTTTGATACTGATAACAGCCCTAGTCAACCCATTGTCGTCGAGTCGATTCTGACTCATAATGATTCTGTAGGACAGAGTAGAACTGCCTCATAGAATTTCCAAGGCTGTAAATCTTTATAGAAGCAGACTGCCACATCTTTCTCCCATGGAGTGGCTGGTAGATTTGAACGGCTGACCTTTCGGTTAGCAGCTGAGTGCTTAACCACTGTGCCACTAAGGCTCCTAACAACCCTAGTAGCAGGTACTATTACTATTCCTATTTTACAGGAAACAGAGATTTATAAAGAATAAATAACTGACTCAGGGTCACACTGGTAAAATGGACAACGTTGAGACTAAAACTCTCATCTGTCTGACTTCAAAACCTGTCCTTTTAAACACTCAGTTACCCTGCATCCCAAAATCTAGGAACACAAAAAGTGTCTCCTAGTTTCTTCTTTCTATGTTTTTTTTTTTTCCCCTCCCTTAGAACTAGGAGATATTGGTACTTGTTATCATTCCTTTTTATTTTTTCTTTTAAAAAGAAAACCAGGGCTTTACACTATTTTCGTCTTTACTGTAAATGAGTTTCATAAGGAAAAGCACGTTTTAGGAGGTTTGAGAAGTAAAAGAGAAGATGCTTCCAGAAGTGTCAATAGGACTAATGTTGAAGGTTTCAGTAAAAAAGACAGGTGGAGAACAGTAGTGAATCAATGTTAAAACACCTGGATAGGGAAGCAAGGACTAGGTAAGGCCACAATATTTCCAAAGCAGCATGCAGCCAGTGGCTGTTGTATTAGTGGGGGTGGGGTGGGTATGGACTGCACTGGGTAACACTGTCAGAAGGGGTGACACCAAAATGACTGTATATAAAAATATTCCTGTAGTTATAACAACAAAAACATTTCTCGTAAGCCCAGCTTACATGTATCAATATACTTACAAGGCTAAAACTCTATGCTAATTTGCTTTTTGAACCTTCTAATGCACTCCAATCAAAGCTGTCATTATCACCCAATTACAATGATGCTTCAAATCACGTGGTTTCATCTGCATGCTCTACAAGCACTGTTGTTTTCATTGCTGCCTGGGTTTTTATAGTCACTGATTTTGTCAAATTTCCTGGTGTTTTAGCTACAATATTGTGGCCACTAATACTTGGAACTTATATCAATAACTTTTTTGAGAATGAAGTAGTCGTTAAAGGAAAAGAAGGAGTGATATACAAGAATTATGATTTATGAGTAACATTAGAACAAAAAACATTACTAAGGATTCTGTATGGACTGGTAGGGGACAAGGTCCATGGGGGAATGACACCATGAGTTACCACTCTGGGTGACACCAACCCTAGTGACACCACTGCATGCAACATTTGGAAACTTCTCCATGTAGATGCTAATACCACTGGTACGCTAAAAACTAAGCTCTCTGGGTTAGTATCTTGTGTAAGAATTTTCTTACAGGCTTTAAATAAAATTCCAAATCCAGTGTGCTGTAAGGCTATTCCAGGATGAAGTACAGTGAGTGACTCTCTTGAGATGTTTATGTGTCCTACTGTGTGTGCATGGGGAGAGTTGGTAGGACTAAACCTCCAAGTTCATGCGTGGGGGGTGGGGAGAATGTGTTCATTTTCACTACATCAAAATACACATGTGACTTAATCTCCAACTTGAAATCTGAAAAGGCAAAAACATAAACATCTGAAATTGTTGTGGTTATTGTTTGGGAATTGCCCCAGTCTGGGTTCTCTAAAGGAGCAAAACCAGTGAAGCATATGTATAAATATATAGAAAGAAATTTACTTCAAAGAAGTGGCTCACACAATTGTGGGGACTGGTAAATTCCAAATCCGTGGGTCAGGTGGCAGTATGAAGGTTTCTGCTGGCTCACTTGCTTGCAGGGGCTGACAAATCCAAAATCTGCAGGCCAGGTGATAAGAAGTGTGCAGGATCGAGAGAGAGCTAGCTTTGTCAGAACATTCATTTATGTACTGGAGGCAGGCCCTAACCCAAAGGAAACTCGCCTTTCAACTAACAGGCTGCTCACATCAGATCACCAAGTGGAAGGTGATTACACAGTGTCTGCCAAACCACTGAGAATCATAGCCTAACCAAATTGACACATAACATTAACCGTCACAGTCCACATCTTGTCAATCTGGCACCTATACACATCTCCTTAAACCATACATAATCTCTAAATAAAGACAATTTTAAAGCCATACTTGCACCTACATGATACAACTAACGTGTGTACAACCTAAAATTCACTAGCCCCTTTTACCTTTTGCAGTTTATAATAAGTAATGGGAGAAGGGAGGGAAGAAAACAAAGATATTTTATATATATGTACACACACACACACACACACGTATAACAAAACAAGGAATAAATATGCATAACAATTACATCCTCGTTTCTGAAAGATAACAGTAGCCATTACAGGAATCAAGATTCATAAACATCAGTGCACACAAAGTTATATAATAAATTGGATGCAACAGGGGACAAGCAATTTCTTCCTATAGTCTGTATGTTGTTCTGCTATCAGATATGACCAGGATTTTCATACTTAAATTTTAAAAATATCTGATTGCCTGAAGACATATGAGGGGAGAATGAAAAAGGTATTTGTTTAAAGTAATCAACATAAAATTTAAGAATTCATTCCATCTTGATGTAACAACGGTGAGATTGATTGCCTCTCATAGAAACACTCTCAAAGGCACAGTTCTGTTGAATCTGAAAATTGTTGCACTCCGTTCATTCAGAATTAGGCAAGCAGAGACTAATAAATCTCTTTTGGAAGTTATAGATGTCTTTTAAAAAAATCTGGATCTCTGTAAATTCTATGTTGACAAGGTAGAATGTTTCTGATTTAAACACAGCTGCAAAAGCAACACAGCCTCCCAACACTTGGCTTTAAACCCAGAATGTTTAGAGTTTGTGTCACACCTCTCTTGAGGCTATTATGAATCAGAGTTCTAGGGAGACTTCTGCCTCATACAAGCCAATTCATAATCTAGGCTATGTCCTTGAAAAAAAAGTCAAGAACTCACAAGGAATACTAAGAGACTTCAGCAGAATGATATAAATACAATTTCTTTCCTTTATAATGAGGCACACAGTATTCATCATTTCTAAGTACTGATTTTATTTTTCTTCAGAAACTAGAGTATTGTCAGCTGCTGAAATGTAAGAAACAATGCTGGGGCTTTGCCACAAAGTTGAAGATAATGGTTGTTTGCTTATTTAACCCTTGATCTTTTCACTATTTCCCTTCTTCAAGCCATTCTACTTCTCAGAAGTCAAAATATAGAAAGAAAAATATGCAAAGTAAGACTTAAGTTCATGTTAAAATGTTGCAGAATAGACCTTTGGCACACAACAGGCACATATACATATTGCCCAATCAATAAACGGAAGGAAAACAAATTACACAATCACTCACAGTACAAGCAAGTTGCATAGTTTTGCTTTTGATACCACAC